GTACCACCGCCCTATTCTCAGAGCACTTCGATCTCACCAATCTGGAACTCGGATTGATCTTCTTGCCAAATGGCGCCGGTTGCATCAGCGGTTCCTACCTCACAGGTTATCTCATGGACTACAACTACAAAGTCGTCGAGTCCCGTTACCGTGAACAACACAACATTCCGGCCGATATTCATATCAAGGCCAATGAACTGCTAGATTTTCCTATCGAAGTCGCAAGAATGAGGAATATTTGGTGGATTGTCATTGTTTTCGTTATTACCACGGCTCTTTACGGGTACTCATTGAGTCTCGAAATTATTGCTCTTCCACTGGTTCTACAATTCTTTATTGCGTACACGGCTACTGCGGTCTTCTCTTCCAACAGCGCCTTGATCATCGACCTTTACCCTGGTAAATCGGCAAGCGCTACCGCTGTAAACAACCTCAGTAGATGCTTATTGGGAGCAGCTGGTGTGGCCGTGGTGCAGTTAATTATTGATGGATTAGGTTCTGGGGTGACATTCTTGATATTTGCTGGAATAACTCTCGCGTGCAGTCCATTGTTATTGTTAGAGTGGTATCACGGAGAAAGATGGAGAATGGAACGAGCCGAAAAGTTGGAGGAAAAGGAAGAGGCCAAGCGCGCAACAGACCTAGAGGGATGAGACTTGCGGATTTATTTCCCAAACAGCAAATTATGCAATTGGTTCAAGAGAACTTCATAGGTCACGGATGGACAGAAGTGAACAGCTTCCCCTGTTCTTGAGACATCTGTGGCCTTGCCACCATTATTAGAGTGTGTGGAGCTCTGCATCCTATGATCAGACCTGCTTGTGGCAGCTCATTGGCGATGGAAACTTGGATATCACAAATTCCTCCAACACCTGGAGCAGATCAAAAGATCATGCCAAGAGAAGTAGACCTGTCTTCAAGGCCCAATACGATGGCCTTGATAATGATAATGAGCGGACATTGGGTGGTGTTGTAATTTCATTACAGTCGCTAGAACCCAGATTACTAGATAGATAAAAAAGATAACATGATGAAAATTTTCAATTATTTAACATTAACTGCTTTTAAAAATTGCTTTTTGCTATGTAGTTATGCTACTCGAACCTCAGTGATAACTTCTGTGAAAAGCATTCACGATCCTACATACACACTAGCAATTCTAGGTAGTCATTGAGAGCTATATCTCTCCTGAATTCGCAGTCTTGATAGGATAGTCATTACAATGGACGCCTCCGGACACCTACAATAACTTCGAGTGCAAGTCGTGATTGTTGCAAATTTCGCGTTTGTCTCAACTACTTCAGTACTAATGGGAGCGCTTACGAATATGTCAGCCCCTTTCTTCACCGCTTAACTAGAGCTTAAAGATAGGTAGATGCACTACGGTCTTTGAAATTCTTCACGGGGCGTCATAGCCTAGAAATCAGACGGATAGTCGACGCTAATCAACACTAAACTTCAAACCCTGTATCTGTGACGTCGAGTGAATCTCACAATTCTTCCAACTATTGGCAATAATTAACGGGGTCTGATTCTAATAAGGCTGAATTAAATTGTTAAGGGTCAGCTCTCTTGGCATAAAATTGTGTCAGGATGGTGCAGGGGTAATTAGGGGTCACTCTTGTCAGGGTTCTTTTGGATATTGAGCATTCATTGTTTGGATTTAATTTCGAAATTTGCGAGATCCATAAACCGAGTCAGGCTGGAAAATGGATTTGCAATAATTTCTGAGATAACTAGGTAAATGGTCAACACACTATCTCAATGTACGATTCATGATGGTGCACGGAAAGATAGCCAATGACTGCGCGTGTTAACGAGAATTGTGATGATTTTGAGATCTACATATATTAATTTACAACAAAGGCTTGGACATAGGAGCAATGATGCCTTGTTTGACCATAACTCTCGGCTTGGTCGAGTCTTGAAAGGTCTCCTTAGTAGCCCATTCCGGACCAACTGGCAATCGTAATGAGCGTTCGTATTGTTGGCGGTTCTCGAAAGGATGAGGTAATTGTGATGCATAGTATTTACTATTCTGAAGTTTTCGTTAGTAACTGCAAGAAAAAAGAAGATGCTGCATTCTACGTACCTTCTTGACACGTTTTTCGTTAATGATAACGCGGTCAAGCTTTGCATCTTTCCTGTTCTGTTCCTTGATACCTTCAGACTTGGTAAGGAATCTTCCCTTGTTCTTTGCCTTTTCTCTTTTGCTCACGCCGTCTCCTACCCAGCTTCCCCACCCGGGTATGGTGTTATCGATGACTTTCTCGTCCTCATCCTCGATTGTCTGTTTTTTCTCCGCTTCAAAATCGCCAACGACATCAGCTCCAGCGAAAGCACGCTTGATAAGTTCTTGGTCTTTGATGGCGAATGGAAGATGAATAGCACCATCATCCTCACTATCTTCATCAGAAGCCTCGAGAATTTGGGCTGTCTTTGACTTGGCCTTCTTAGGTTTGGGTTGCTTGGCCATTACAGCAGCTTGTGACAAATCAAGCTCTTCGACATCCATAGCACTGTTGCTCTTATGCCTGCGTTTATTTGCCTCCTTTTTGCTGACCATACCCGATTTCAGAGGTACTTTTGACCAAGCTCCACCTTCAGTAGCCACCTCTGGTTCTGCGACAAATGACTTTCCAACACCTCCGCTCGAGCCATTCGTCTTCTTTGCCTTTGATGCACTGGCAGTTGCTTTAGGACCATTATCAACCCCTGTGAATTCTACATCCATGTTGTCCTCATCCTCCGAGTCTTCAGGTTCTTCGAATTCATTCAAGTTTTGTGGTTTCGTCGGAGCATCTTTAACTTTAGATCCAGGCCCAAATGTTCTACGCCCAATATCGCCATCTTCTTCCTCTTCACTAGAGCTTTCTTCCCCTGCGAGCTCCTTTCTCATTTCCTCCACCATAGCATCATTTGCCTTCTTGCGAGATTCTTCGGCATTCCGCATAAACTTCATATTTGCTAACTTTGCTCCTGGAGCGGAGTCGTCAATGATATCGTCTTTTCCTGCCCTTTCCAGGCGTCGAAGAAGTCGTTTCTGCTCCGTTCCTTCGTCCTCATCGCTCATATCGTCATCAGAATCGTCCATGGATTCATCCGAGTCGTCTTCAAACTCTTTCCTCACTGCTCTTCCTTCCACTCTCTTTCGCAATTCCTCCTCTCTTCGAGCCATTTCGGTGATACCGTCCCTGGCATCTTCATCCCATGCCGCTCGACCCGTAGCTTTTGTGGCTTTCGCCCACTTACTGTTTCGGTGCTTTGCCCCCATTCTCTCAGTCGCACGTCTTCTGTCCTGAGCCTCAAGCTCATCTTCAGAAGGAACAAAACCTCCCTCTTCAAGAGCTGCTTTGTTTTTCGCCTCTTCTCTTTCACGTTGCTTTCGATGGACTTTGCGATAAGACTTGCTCTTGATTTTTTTAACTCGCTTCGCCTTAAGCTCTTCTCGGTAGAGGAGCTCTCGAGCCATTCGTAACTGATCTCTACGAGCTTTCACTTCCTCCATGGATAGTTTGTTCATTTCCAATTCCTCAAACTCTCGGATTTTATCTTCGTCATCTCTTCCACCCGCAGTGGCGAGTCCGCTCTCCTCAAGAATACTCTGGATCGTGGCTTCAAGTTCATTGAATGGCTTGGATTGGGCTGTAGATTGAAGTCGAGTGTTTGCGCGTGCAGAATCTGCATCCGGATCCGCCAAAGGGAAAACCAAGTGGTCTGCTCGTCGATTGTGTTTTACGGTGTCAGTCCATCTATCCAGAGTTTCTTTACTCTTGTCGTATGCTACGCTGCGATCAAGACGGTCTTGTTGACGCCTTGCGAGAGGTACTTCTAAAGTGCTAGCAACCTTTTTTTTGTCATCGCCCTTTTCAGACTTGAGAGCCTTCTTGATTGAACGATCGTTGATTTTGCTTGGGCCAAGGTCTGTGATGAATTCTTTTGTCGATGGGAGACCAAAGTTTCCAGGGGTAGCATATTCGCTCACACCATCATTTCGTCGTTTGGCAAGGGCTTTTTCATTGAGTGGAAGATTCGCAATTAAATCTTGTAGTGCCGCATGCTTCGACGGATCCATAGAATCATCTTCATCTTCGTCATCGGCAGATGATGCGGAAGACTCTTCGTCACTTTCTTCATCTTCGTCATCAAAGCCGGATTGGTCTGAGCCTTCGGCCTCAGCTTCATCCTCATCGTCTGACGAAGCGTCCAACATATCTGCGAGATCTACAGCCCCCTCTCCTAAATCACCTTCCTCCAATTCTGATCCGGAGTCCTCTCCATCATCGTCCTCATCTAGGTTTAATTCTTTATTTTGCGGCATACGCTTTTTGGAGCTCTTATTATTACTCGAGCTCCCCGAAAACGCATATCCTTCGAATCTTTCCTCGTCACTCTCCCCAAAAGCTTCGTCACTGTCAATATCGCTGTCGTCATCGCTGTCCACCACACCCATTTTCCATGTGTTGCCTTCACTATCGCTTCCCTCGTCGATATCTAGCTCATCGAATCGACCTTTTGCAGGACCCTTTTTTTGTTTCTTCGCACTAAACTCTTCTTCTTCATCCTCATCTTCGTCGTCTTCATCTCTATCTCGCTTCCCAGGTCTATTCCCGCCTTCAGCGTGACCCAATCGACTTTGTCTTACTCGATGGCGTTCCCCAATTTGTTGCTGTGCGGCAGAAAATGCATCGATAGTCTTATTTTTCGATTTTGTTCTAACCTTGGGCTGCTTCAACAGCGATCTGCCATGCGATTGTCTTCCAGGCATGATTGCGCTTTAAAAATTATTGTCGCAATATTGTGCTAGAAGCGTTGATTATCTTTTATCAATTTTATCGGGAAACTTTTTTTCTGCTGGTGTAGAAAGGCGGTGACCTAATCAAGTAGCTCGAGATCGGATAATGCGGCCGCCGGACAAATTTTAGCGTCTAAAGACAATTTTGGAGAAGCATCTGGAGTCTGCAAAATCCAAAATAAACTCCTAAACATCAATCGCAATCATGCAGCCCACACAATGCCTAATGAAACGGGTAGCCAGACATGCCCTGAGTACGAAGAAAGCAAATAAGGGGTTCTACAAGGGTACTGGAAGTGGTTCAACAGGTCGACATACACAACATGGAGGGTACATAATCGAGTGGGATAAAGTCAGGACATACGTTGTGCCGCCAAATCTTAAGGAGTGTAAAGTACGAATTCGTAGAGATCAATCTGGAATGCTTTAGAGGGTGCTGACTGCGATTTAGCTCACACCATTCGTCACAAAAAAGATATTGCCGCCGAGAGGAAGATTCGAAAATGATCCCAAAGGTGCTTTCAGTGGAGAAGCATACCTGCGGAAGTGGAAGGATATTTCGGATGGAATGACATAAATAATTGGTGTGAAACGGTATGGGTGCTTTTCTACTTCTGCAGGTTCTTTTACTAAATATTCTTAAGGTTTATGGGAAAACGGCGTTGACAATTGTATCAAAAAATGTATCAAAACGATAACATGAATATCATACCCCTCGGATTGAAACCTGGAGCGTGAGATGAAGTTGCGCATGTTCGTAGTATCTGAAAATCGGGCGTATACTGTGAAGTGGACATACTTGATAATACTGGCCAGCTCAAATTGAGCAGCCAAGTTGTTCATTGGTTATTGTAATGAAAGCCGTGATTGGCATGCGATGTTATATCTGTATATGTGCTTCCATTGTCGAAATCTTACTTTGTTTTTCAAGCCGAATTACTTATGAGATACGCTAGGGTTCTCAGTGGAACATGAAATCAGTATTAACTTATTTGTCTTCCGGGAGTGCTAAACCAAGGAGTTACCCAGGTACTTGAAGTTCATTGAATGCCTTCTTTTTGGTTGAAGTGCAATTATGTCTCCAAATCCATCCCTCAACATGCTTGCAATGTGGAGGCGTTCCAAGGGGCATGGTCTCCCCTCCTGTCGGATTTCATCTCTCAACATTGTATACTTTCCTCAAGAAGACCTCACGGTCTTCTACTCGTAATGCAACCTACCACCTTAATTTTTCCCAAATCACAAAATCGACACCCATTGTGCAACTCCAAAGTCTGATATTACATCCTTGCTTCTCTTGTACTACTACTATTGCAATCAATCCTGGCGACCAGCTCTGACAGACTTCTGATATCTTGGGATCGTGTGAAGAGCAATTGGCAATTCAAACCCCGTCGGCGACGAATGTAGATCTACCCTGTTGTCGATGTATCTATCAAATTTGAATTAGAAACTTGCCATTATTACAACTCTTTCTAAAGACTTATACATGCGTCCCATTCTTGTACCAGCTAACTCAGTTTCTAACTTAGTCTATACACCCGCAGAAATTGACAACGACTTGTTATCGGTGTAGAATTCGCGTTTTGGTGAACGAATGTTTTAAAGGTATCTCATCGGAATATTTTCTTGATTCAAAGCACTGAAATCTAATCCGCTTGCCAACAATTTCAGGATATGGCACAACGGTATCTTTCATCAAACTCCCATCTATACCAGCACAAACGTGGGTACTCTAATACCGCACACCTGATTCACGCGGGGTGAAATGACCGTTCCGTAATCTTGGGGCGCGCCTAGATTAAGATGTCGCACAGCATCTAATTTGAGCGGTTCAAGAGGCATCCGAGTCAGCGTCATATCACATCACGAGCGAAAAAGCCAATGACGTACTTAACCGATCGAGACTTTCTCCACTGCAAAGCAAACGCAGCACGGAACTTCACTTCTCGACAATTAGTTCCAAAAAATGGTAGTAACGATTCTCACAAGAGGACGCTCTCGAGGGCTAGGCTTGGCTCTTGCTGCCGAGTTCTCGAAGGCTGGTCATTTGGTCTTTGCAACTGCTCGAGACGATCCCACTCCTGCCTTTGAAGAATTGATAAAGTCATCTTCAAGCACCTTCAAGTACATAAAGCTTGATGCCACCAGTAGATCGAGTGTACAAGAAGCGGAGAAGCAGGTTGCTGCTCTCTTGGACAGCAAAGGCATCCATGTTTTGATTAATAATGCTGGAGTAATAAATTGGATGACAACTGGAATACATGCCTTGTAAGTCTCATACAGATTATTTCACTTCTTTCAGAGCATCTGTTTTGAGATACTCACTCCTTGATTTCTTAGGGACGATCTTGATTCCGTACTCAATTCGAACGTCACAAGCGCTCATATCGTCACCGGCACATTTCTTCCCCTCTTAAAGCGAGGCGCTCAGAAGAAAGTCATCAACATGTTATTAGCCAACGTATTCCACGCTTGAAAGCAAATTTTGACAATGGAACTCAGGAGCAGCAGTGGTGGTTCAATCGAGCGGTCCTCTGTTTACAGTACCATGGCAATTCCTGCCTACAATGTTTCAAAGGCCGCCTTGAACATGCTTACAGTTCAGTATGCACAGTCTTATACCGATGAAGTGTTTACTTTTCTTGCAGTCAATCCTGGCGTAATTTTTTTGCTACCTTTTATATTGCTCGAGAACCACCTCCGATGATTGTAGACTCAAGATCAAAAGTAGACTAACTTGGGTGATTAGTGGCTTCGAATTGATCTAGGAGGCGCCTCCGCAGATCTTGATGTAGAGACTGGCGCAAAGGCTGATGTTGAACTTATCGAGTAAAATGGAAAGGAGTCGAATGGCAAGTTCTTGAATATCCGAGTAGCAGGTTGGGAACAGAATGAGAGGATCAATTAGTACGATGGCGGTGTCTTCCCTTGGTGAAATGATAGTAGGAATGGGCTATACTATTAGTCCGAAGAAATTGCATATGTTGGAAAGGTCATGTATTCACAATTGAAATTCCGTATCGGTGTGCTGTTGGCAAGTCCAGTGAAGCATACCCGTGCGCACAATACAAGGCGTATCTAGTGATGCGATTGAATGATGGCTACTGAAAATTGGCTGCCTTTTCTGAAACAGAGACAGTCCCCTATGTCACAAAGATTTGTGAAATAGCAACTCGGTTACATAGAAGCGAAGAAGGTTCGTCATTTTAGCAAGTCCTAGGCCATAGGACATAAAGTCTCCTTCGAAAAGGTCTTTTTTTTCAGTACTACATCTAGCAATACAACGAAGCCTTGTATCTCTTCTTAATGAGCGGCCATATGAACCTCTTCATTCTCTCGGAAATACCAGCGAATGCTTCCGATCGGCCCATTCTGCTGTCGTGATCAGCATAAATGTTATTCATTACCTACGGGTATTGTGAGGGACCTTCGGATGAAAAAATGTGTTCATTTGGCATATTTCCATAGATCCCCAAATTGCCTATCATTTATTGCTGACCATTTGCAATGAAAACCGGAAAGACTCAAGCGCAATTACAGAGTCGTACGAAAGAGAGCTGAACTCATTACCATATCATCTCTGGAAATCCACAATGCGGAAGTGCTTAAGGCATCGACGCAATCAAAAAGATGCTCAATATCTTCCACATACCGAAGATAGTACTGCAGATTTTATTGTTCGACGAATATTAGTGACACTGGCAGTTTTTCCAATTTATTCCAGCCTCGTTGAGTATCGAAATATTATCACACACATTTGTACTGATTCCACTCCATAGCTAAGGATGATAATTCAGATCACGAGCTCTAACAATTAAAAATAACAAATCATTTGACTTTTACTAATGCTTAAATACGAAGTACCTGAAATTTTAGAATTTCCACCAGAAATAAGTCATGGAAATATTATTCTATACCTGTAGCTACCACCCACGTGCTCTCTGTCAGATGATTTTGATTTGCGTGGTATCACGTGAATATTTCCCCTCTCTTGGCAATCCATTGATGGATATGAGTTCTGCACAGGCGACGCGGGCAAATTGTTTGAAAACATTTGACAAATTCTTTTCTTTTCGAAAGATATCAATATACTCCCAGGTCCTCTCTAGGGAGCGATATAGTACAGTGAACTATACATTTTAGGGATGATTTGAATTGGATCAGGCCGAGGTAGGAAGACGGGAGGTTGGCCTAAGGTTAAGGTCAAGTGTAAGTCGCAAAACATTGACGCTGTACCGACCTACTTACCTGTGTACCTGGAATTCTTGTCAAATGGCTTGAATTTCAATGTCTATTCATCATTTTTGTTCCGATTGTTCGTCTGTATATATCATATATTCTTAACATTTGGTTTATATTCATAATTGTATCTCTTTGAAAAGTTTCAAGAGATATTCATCATACTAATATAGTCACACATGTTATACATACCATGCATGCACCTGAGCCCTAAAAGTAAGACACTTTCTAGGAGCTTCCAATGACAAATTTGTTGGTTCAGGAAAGATGATCACAAAGTCGCGCTCACCTGATACTTATCGAGGATTTTTAGAGAACGATTGCAAAATGTTGTTCTTCTCTTATTTTTACTTTCGTTTATCTCCGAAGTCTTGGAGGTTTATGGAAAAGTCGAGATGTAAGATTTTACATTCCTCGACTCAACTCGACTTTCTTCGAGAAAATTCCCGGCCCCAAGACATTCTGACCATTTTCCAGACACGCGACCAACGCGCCTTCCTCAGTCACCAAATATCTCCCTTTTGATACCTCAATCTTATTTCCATGATGATCATACATCATTCAAGTAGTGATGTATCACACTACTATACTGAAGTCGATTGACAGGACGCCCGTCAGTAGTATAAATCTGATGATACACAACGGGCCGAATGTACCTTCCTCGAGCATCATGGTTCCGAACTTTCTCGTCATTCCACAAGTATTGAATTTTTGCCAAATCGCATCCAGCGTGCTCGGTGATTGCTATTCTGACACAAACCTATTGAATTACTCACGTTCGAATTATTATCCTATCACCTCCTAGAATCTTAGTTGTTATTATCTAAAATAATAACAAGCATACCTAGAAGAGGAGTCTCCCCTCATTTTACAAGCACGTTCAATTTGCCAGTGATATTGAGATGAAGAAGTGAATGATATACTTAAATTAGACTTCAAATTACACTCGAATTATATCATTTGACAGAGGCCGAGAAACCACTTAAGAACCCTTGACTCTTACCACCTTCTTTTTCTTTTCCCTCAATCTACTTGCACACTTCCTAGTGTTTTGGTAATCAACAAGTTTCAAGTATGAAGCAAACTATTAGATTTCTTGTTCCCCATATTCTTGCCGCAATTGTGAGCGGTGCACCCTTTCCTCAAGGACAAGGCGACCATACCTCGCTAATCACAAAGAATATACATCCCGTTCAACCCAAGTCCCTTCTCCCGGACGAAACCTCTTCAGATGGATTCCTATTTCTTTCCTCGCCGGGTGCGATTCTAAGCTCTTCCATAAAAACGACGACGGTCATTCCATCCGTCTCCGTGCTGACCACTTCCTCAATCTCCGGCACTGTGCAGGTCACAGTGCAAGTTCTACCTTCCCCGATTACCAGTTCTTTCGATACAACAGGAACTGTCAATTCTAGTCTCGAGACATCTGGCCACGCTACCAACCCTCCTATCATTACATCGTCCATCCCTTCACCAACAACTCGGATGGCCCCTACTGCTCCAACACCAGTTAATTTTAAAATCAATACCGTTGCAGCAGATGCCAATATCTTCCAGCCAATTGAGACCTCACCTCCTCCATCTAATCTAGGTTCTCGTTCAGATCATCCAGTACCTCGGCTAGGAATCAAACCACAAAGTGCACCACTTAACACAAACAAGTTTTACGCTAATTTCTTTCTCGGTATGTAATCTCCTATGTGGAATTGGAAAAAGGATATCTTCGATGAATAATATTTTCAAGCAGCTTTTGAAATGCAAACTAATGATTGAATAGGAAGTCAAACATCCCCAACCTGGACGCATCCATACTCACTTGCTTGGTCAAAAGGAGGTGGTGCCACCAAAAGCTGGGGAATGACCCTCGTCCATATAGATGCCAATCAAAGAGTATTTGGGCCGAATAATACAGTAAATTCTGCTTCATATTTCTTAAACCCAACTGGGTTACAATCATTGGTTCTTTCGGCGGCAGAACTAGGCTCATCAACAACTTTAACAACTGACTCTCTGACTGATCTTTCGATCAATGTCAACTTAAGTCCTACTTCCGGTGCCGCCCCTGCTATCAAATTTCCTTTGGTTCAAGGAATGGGCTTTGTGACAGCTATTTTTTCAGGTGCTACCCCGATCTTACAAAGCGGTATCTTCTTCCGGACGTTGACTCTAGATCCCACACCCCCAAAGCAAGGAATTACGAAGTACTCAATGCTACTTGAAGATGGAAAGACATGGTTGTTATATGCATATTCACCCTCTGGACAAAATCTCACACTCACAGCGGTGAGCAATGGGCTAGTTCAAGCTACTAGTGGTTTTAATGGGATCATCCAAATTGCAAAAAGTGCAAGTGCTGCACATGAAGCTATGTTTGATGAAGCATGCGGGGCTTATCCAATTTCTGCGAGCGTTTCGGGTCATGTAAGTGATGCGGTTGGTTCTTATACAATTGCTTTCGACAAGGCGGGATTGAATGATACCACTTTGGCAATGTTTGCTTTGCCGCATCACTTGGAATCTTTTGATGATGCCACGCTTTGCTGTGTAACCAATGGAGTGCAATTAGCGACAACAACCAAGGGTATGGCGGCGGCTATCGTTGCTGATTCCTGGACGATGGAGGAGGATTTACCACTAAGTATGAACTTTGCACCCTGGAGTCCGACGAAAGGAAGCTCGAACTCGCTTTCTGCGGCTGCCAAGTCTACCATCGCAAATATCGCTGCTAGTGAGATTTCGCAAAATATGACAGATCAAACGAACTTGAATTCTATGTATTATAGTGGAAAGGTATGCATATCACCCACCGATAAAGTTTATCCCATTAACTTTGCCTAGGCCCTTGCCAAATTCGCGCAGATTGTATATACACTCCATGATTTCGTCGGAGATGCAGCTTTAGCACAAGCAGGTCTCAATACCCTGAAGCTAAACTTCGCGCGTTTCATTGACAATCAGCAACAATACCCCTTGGTATATGAATGTAAGTTCTATGTATTGTAAATCAACATGACTTAGACTAATTCAAATCAGCCGCTTGGGGAGGAATTGTCTCTACTGCATCATACAAAACTGGAGATTCAGGCGTTGATTTTGGAAACACGTATTATAACGACCACCATTTCCATTACTCATATTTCGTATATGCAGCTGCTATTATTGGATACCTAGATCCAACTTGGATAGCAAGCAACAAAGCATATATAAATACAATGGTACGAGATTATGCCAATCCTTCACCCAAGGATAATTTCTTCCCCGTTTCCCGTAACTTCGATTGGTACCACGGACACTCTTGGGCTCACGGTCTTTACGAAACCGCCGATGGTAAAGATGAAGAATCTTCATCTGAAGATACTTTATCAGCTTACGCCATCAAAATGTGGGGCCGCACAATAGGAGACTCAAATATGGAAGCGAGAGGAAATTTACAACTGGCTGTTACTGCCCGATCCTTACAGAACTACTTCCTCTACGAATCTACGAATACGGTTCAACCATCTAATTACATAGGCAATAAAGTATCGGGTATCCTCTTCGAGAACAAACTCGACCATGTCACCTACTTTGGAGCAGCTCCAGAGTTGGTTCAGGGAATACATATGCTTCCACTTCTTCCACATTCAACACTTGTGAGAACAGAGGAATTTGTTACGGAAGAATGGAATACTTACTTTTCAAATGGGAGAGTTGATAGCGTAGTTGGTGGCTGGAAGGGCGTTTTATATGCCAATTTGGCGATTATTGATCCTCGAGCGTCGTGGAACTTCTTTGCGCAGGCAGGATTTGATGCCAGTTGGTTGGATGGAGGAGCTAGTCGTACGTGGTATTTGGCTATGGCTGCTGGTAAGTTCTTATTTTATTTCAATTGTTTTCGTTGCTTTTGCTTCTCCCGTTTTTGTCTGCCGAGTTGAAATGGTTACTAATGAGATTGTAGGACTAGGAGGCTCGCCATGATGAAAGAAGGGAAAGTCTAGATGATGGGTGGGAATAGTAGTACACTTTACAGTTTGAAGAATAATGCTGGCATGCTTCAAACTGGTTGGAATTATGGATTGGAGCGACAAGATATCAGTGTATGGGATGCAATGGTTTTGGAAGCTTGAAATAGCACATTAGCGATAGGTTTAAATTGAACGGGTGGAACGTCCTTGAGGGACCAAGAATACGCCGCGACTACCTAGAAATATCAGATTTTTATACCCCAAACGAATGTTGCAATGATAGATCAATGTGACATTGAAGTGAAACAACTTTTACCGTACCACGTTGATAAAGAATATAACAAAGCATCCAGAAATTACCGAGATCATGTCATTACATGCGATTTTATAGCCTCATTCCAATGATTCCAACATCCCACTCCTCTCTACCCTCTCAATCTGCTCCAACCTTCCTCGAATCCACTCTTCAAACGCCACAAACATATGCGCACTACCATGCCTCTCACAAAACCTCAACAGCGCCTCATACCTCTCTCTAACATCTGCTCCCGTTGCCGTAATCACTTTCTTCAAATCTACCGGACACAAATACGGAGGTTGTCTCGCATCTTCCTGTATCGACGCACTCCCTTGCATACAACAAGCATAATAAGGACAGTGTGCGATTCCAAAACAATGGCCCAGCTCGTGAGACGCAGTGCGGCATATACGACTGAGGAATAGACCTTTCAGTGCATTTTCGGAAGCAGTGGGAGAGAGAGATAGTGGAGGAAGAGTATTTTGTTGGGTTACTGCGCGCACTAAGGGACTTTTCGCAGTTGCATATTCTCCATCTTTATCTTCATTCTTATCTTCTCCTCTCTTTCGTTTCCCCTTCTTAATCCCATATACCTCGTTCATATATTCAATACAGTGACTCCCCGGCCAAGCATGGATTCTCTCGATTTCCTGCACAGCATCTAGATCGGGCCGGTAGCGCGCAGTACTCACAACAGCTACCCTGCTTCCGCCGTAAGCTCTCCCGCATACAAATTCATCGTCGTCATCTTCGTATAAATCATGATTTACGAGCATGAGTAATGCGTATGCGTCCGGAGGTAGGATATCGATAGCGAGATCGAGGAGATCGGAGAGATTTAGTTGGTGGGTGAAGGGCGAGGATGGGGTGGGGCGGTAGCGGATGCCGGTTTTGAAGGTTGAGGTGCGGAGACCGATGTAGTTGGGTGGGTTCTTTTGAGAGGTGGCTCTGGATTTGGGTTTGTGTTTGGATTTAGATGTAGATTTAGATGTTGAGGGTTGAGAGATTTCTTCCCATGGTGTGAACTGCAGGAGTGACGAATCCATTCGTTTAATCGGGAGACCGTGGTAGAATGCTTGGAGATAAGAAATAACATCCAACATCCAACTATCCATCTCCCGTTTTCCCTTCTCAACACCTTTGTCCCCTGCACTATTCCCACCGCGCCCAACCTCGCACTCCTCCCACCCCTTCATAAATTTCTCCATCTCCTCACCATCCACCCCCGGCGGTCCCACAACATAAATTATCCTCCTCCCCCCTTCCTCCACTCTCGGCACCGCATTCCTATGTTTCCCTCTCTCCCATCCCCTAAAAGTTTGACCAGGCTCTTTCGGATCAATCTCTAACGCATCCCCTTTCAGCACCAAGGGGGCAGGGAACGTAGACGCAAACTCTATATCCGATGCGAAATCATGAAGATATGTATCTGTGATCCCTGATTTATGTATCCCGGTATCTGTCGTGGCGGCTGCACGACGCGATGCAGAGACGCGAGGAAATTGGGCTGAGGGGTGCGAGGTGGTGAGGAGGTGGGTGTGTGTGCAGGGGGGACTGATAGGGGGGGTGGAAGAGGAAGGTTTGCGTTTGGGAGGCATTTTGGAGGTTAGTTTCTAGTTTTTTTTTTTGTATAGAGAAAAATAGAACGAGAGTTGGTAAAATGCTATGAGGGTTCGTTGTCATGTGCTTCATTAAGTGATGATATCACGTGATAATAAAGAGTGAGCATTATCTGTGGAGTGTGAGGTCGATGAGGACAATGAGCTGTAGTAGCACGGCTGCTTGAACACGTCTTAGAGCATGCGCCGCGTACTGTTGGATTTCTTTTCCGAAGATACTTTTGTTAGAGTTGTGTTCTTTACTTTTCCCAGTATTACAATAACCCAATAGTAAGTAGTTATTTCAAGAACAGAAATCATTCTTACAAATAAATCGTTTAACTTGCCTGTGTTGTGTTACACGTAAAAGTCAACGGTGTAGCTCAAGTTACAGGAGTTGTATTTGTCTAATTTGTATTCATCGATTTAGTACTGATATACTTACTCGTACTAGTCTCATGGGGAGAAGATTATGTAAAGAGTGAAGGTTGAGCATGTAACATGATTTCGAGATTACAAATTCAAAAATCTTATCACACGTCCGAAACTGCTTCCAAAAAGACATCACGTTGATAACATCATACTAGTTTCTTATAAAATGACGGTTCCAGAAAATTCACTTGTATATGCGTAGATCAAAAAGGCCCAAGGCTTTTCATTCCCAACCCAATTGAAGTTTTGAAATCCTACGAAACGTTGAAATTTCGTATCTAGTTTATCAGACCAGGCCATTGGACACCCTGCGCAAAAGAATCCCAATACCTCTCCTCCCCTTAGTCCTAGATACAAGCACTTCTTTCATCCCTTAAATGCCCTTAGCGTCTGGCATCTCGCCTTGTTCAGGGCCTTGATGTTGAGTATGGGGGTTTAAACCGTCTTGTGACTGCACATAAGGCTAATTACATGCTGGTGCTGCGGACGAGTCACTAGAATCTGTTGAGGATATGCCAATTGACTGGAAGTGGGACTTGAACCAGGCCAAATTTGTTATGGATACGACATTGGTTGTCCTCGGGAATCGTGTATTGTCATAGGCTGAGGTAAAGGATATGTTGGACTGTTGTAATCCTGTTGGTTGAGAATAAGCTTAATTCTCTTGTTGGACTTCAATGAGACTAGTTTGACCATATATTGCAGGTGAATTGATGGGCTGATTGTGAAGTGGAACACTTTGCTAAGGAGACATATGCTCACTATTTTCATAAGCACCACTAATGTGCTGGTTCGTGAGCTGAAACTCATTCCTGCTATATCGTGACCCAGAATTTCATTTCGGTGACCTCTAAGAGACGTTTGCGATTTCTCTGCAGCTCGCTGCATCAATTTGCTTGGGTACTCTGCATTTTTCTCGGACCTCGCACGAAGACGATTCCCCTCAGCCCGACCATCACCATCTGTGCCAAATACATCGCCAAGATATTTGGAAAAATCTAGATATGCCGATTGAATTATAATAAAGTGATCCTGTTTCAAAAGCATCTGCACACTGTTGTTCAACTCCGCGGAAAGAGATTTACTCAGAACATCATATTCCGCAAGTGCTAGGGCTGTTTGAGGTGCACTACGAATCTGTCGACCATTCCATCTAGCATGCTTATGATTATCGAAATGAAGTTCGGCGAAATTGATAATAATCGAATCATTAAATGTAGGTTTTCGGTTCTGAGTGTTGAAGTGATTCTTGGTTAGCTCTAGATTTAGCTTGAAAAATTGCTTGTTTTGCTTCTTGGTTAGCTCTGGATAGTACAAACTCATGTGAATCTGAGACACAAAAATCTCATCGAAGTCGCCAACTCGACTAGTGGTGGGAAAAATAGTCTCGGAATAATATTTCAGTAATTCAAGAAACACTGCCGAACTTAGCACTTTGACCGTCCAATGCTATCATACGATTGTGATTGGTAGTCCAGAAAACAAACAGACCAGACATAAAGGCATTCCTTTTTCCTACACCTGGAGCGCCGTGGAGGAATATGATAAGACCTTTGCCTAGTAATTGGTGTCAGTAATCTTCTTAGAGCAGACTGTTGTTTCATAGCTATGATTAGGCGAGGGGAGAAGTGAAGTATTTGAGCTAGCAGAGGATTATGATAATGGGATGAGTGCCCCGCAAAATATTTTGACGAATTCCAAGCCGACCATGAGATTGCGCAAGCTGTTTGAAGTCTGAACTTCATTGTTAAACATGGCAGCTATCCCAAGAAATGAACAGGTTCATAGCAACGTGTGATTTGAATGAGAGCTGACTGTTTCTGGGTTCTTGAAGTGAAGATATCAGGAAATCTTGAGATCCGAATTGCAAGAAGATCTTCAAACAATCTCAAATCAAAGCGGCGTGAATCTAATAAATCTCCATCCCCATCAGTTTATTCTCCGCATGTCCTAGGGTAAAAGAAAACCTGGAAATGACTACTATAATATGAGCAATTAATGTCACAATGGCAGAGTGAATACTCAACTGACATCCGTCGTTCAACATATAAATACAAATCTAAAGTAATAACAACCCAATTACTTTGAAATAATTACGAGTATGGAACGAAATTGCCCCTGATTCGTCTTGATTTAGAGCCGAGTATACTCATTAAATATAATTGGATAGCAGAAAAAGAAAGACATTGTATCTTGAAGCGTACAGCCATTTTGAAGATAGATCTTGCTTTAATATCCTTCATCAGAGTCTTTAAGCCATCACTACACCAAAGACTCTGATGAAGGATATCAAAGCAAGATCAGAATAACGCTTGCTTGATTTGAGAAAGAGTATTAAGAATCGAAAAAGAAAAAAGTTTCCATGAATGGCTCCCCAGTGCCAGCAGCAAACGACCTCTGAAGTGAATTCACACACCGGTAGACTTCTACCAGCACATTTCGCCAACACACTATTAGATAGAACAGTCGTCCTCGCAATCTCACAAAATTCACATAAAACTCACAAGGCACAGACAAACTTGGTAGGAGTGTAACATATTAATAATTAAAATCCACCTCTCATTGTATTCCCTAACGAAAACAAGCGATCAGATCCATGCCGATCAGGTCCAACCAGACCTTCAAACTCTATGCTAATGCTACCAAATGCCATTCCATGCTTATGTAACGTTAACGTTATCACGTATATCCACCCAGTCCCAGCGTATATGCACTTCAAATAACTTAGGGTATTCCCGTGGCCAAATCCCAATCCATCCCAGTCCTTCCTGTCAAAAAGACATCTAAACCAATTCCAGATGGCAAAATAAATCCAGATTTGTTTTTTCATCCTGAAGATCAAGACTGTCCTTTCAACATCTCTTTCCACATTCCCACCCATGATGTGATGTGATGTGATTGAACTCCAATCTAAACGCCCAATAAACTCCTTGCGATGCAAGACGTGATATAATGCAAACTCTCATGCTCATGAGACTCCATTCTCATGTTTGATAAGAGCAAAAAAAAGACGAAAATTCATCAATTGATACAAAGAAAATCGTGAACCAAACAAGCCATTTTCTTCCTTCCTTCCTTCCAATAAACTCCCGATCCGAAACCAGAATGAGAAGTGTAGAAGAACCTCACGCAGTGGAGAGATTCTTTTGACCACCAAAATATCGTGTTAAGAAGTTGCCCTTTGACTTCTTGGCCGCGCGACGCTTTTCCTCTGCCATTGCCATGTTATCATGATGAGGCATGTTGTCAATTTCGTAGGGAAGCATAGGTCTGAGCTTGCCATCAGAACCGGCAACTTGGACGGTAACAATATCGCGGGTAACGCCTGAAGGGGAGTAGGTATCGCATTGCATGGCATCGTTCTCGTCAAGGTAGCTGCTGACAGATGATAGAGGTGTACCCGAGCGAGATAATTCGGAGATGTAAGATGAGGCGGAAGAGGACATAGCGTCGAGGGTATCGGCAGTACCGCTACGAGTAAGACCGGGAATCTCGGATGAGGATGGTGGTGAGTAGTGGTTGTATGGGTCTTCGGTAGTGAAGAGGGATTGTTGTTCGCCGTAGTATGGCATGTATTTTTCTTCGGTTACTGGGATCCAGTATCTTCCGGCTGGATCGAAAGACATGTTTTGCATTGCGAGGGTTTCTTGTTCTCGTTGAGCTTGTAGACGTGCTTCGCGAAGGCGGTATTGTTCTTGCTTTCGATCCAAGTCAAATCGGATTGGTGTGAGGAAAGGCTCCAAATGAGTATAGAGATCATCGGAGCTGACAATCAAATCCCAGTTGAGTAGCTGAAGTAACTGCTTCTCCATGAGGTTGACTTCTGTCCTGGTGAATGAAAAGTCTGGATAACCCCGGACATTCGAGTATTCGGCCCAGTGCTTGTTCTTTGGTGATGAGTCATTGAGGAATTTGGCCGATAAGATCAATGTTGCAAGGAAAATTCTGTGAACCGTACATCTTAAACCTTTTGCAACTGGTGGCAGTCTCTTCTTAAGTCTAGCGAGGTATACCAAGCTGGTCATGAGTGTAGGTACTTGGACGTTGGATCTCTTTATCAAAGAAGTAATGAATCTCTCTAATGACGGTAAATCTGATGCTGATCTTTTCTCTTGAGGGGGAGTTCGAGGCGGCGAGGGACCTTGACTTGAGGAGATTTGTGTGGGTTCGCACTGAATGACTTCTCTCGCCTTTTGAGCAAGGTAGTTGATCATATCTTGAGAGACTGTTTGGAAAACAAAGTGACCCAAAGCCACCTCATTGGAGGTTCTAGGAACGTTTGAGTTGAGCGACATTGTGTCTTGAGTGATATTGTACTGCTTGTAGTTGTTGTACTTCGATGCCGCTGACTTGTATCTAGATATGTTGTAGATCGTGACTCGATCAACGTTTGATATTGGGAAATAGAATAATGATCTCGTAACAAAAAGATAAAAGTAAAGATACACCAAGCTATAAGGTCATAAAAAGGAAAGTTGTTATTGTCCTGAGCCAATATTGATTGTCTGGTTTTTTTTGGAGAAAAAAAAAAGTGACTGTTTCTATTGTCTCCAGGCCTCAATCCTATTGTGGTTTATCGGCTGAGGTTAAAGTACACTCGGCTGTTGAAAACAATAAGGAAAGAAATCGTCAAATAGAAAAATACAAGACGATAAAGGTGAATCAAATCTTTCGAGAAAATTTCAAAAAGAAATTAAGCAAAAAATAATGACGACCACAAAGCTCGTAATATTGAATCTTAAATTTCGCGAATGAGTGAGAAAAGATCCGACCGGCGGAATCCTATAGAGGAATGAAGTTGGCGCAGCTGGTTACTATGCGTGGAGGCACTGAAGAGGATCAGTTGGCTATATAAAAATCCGGAATTGTCTCGCCTCAAGCCTGACAAAGGCGTTCCTAGGGGCGGATCGAAAAGGCAGGGGGTTTTGTTTTGGGGTAAAGAGTGGCTGAAGTCGATTGGGCCAAAATGATGATATGCAGATAGGCGCGGAGGATTTTCGTGCGGTGGAGGTGAGGTGAGGTTAGGTGAAGAAGGTCAGCGAATAGGCCGAAGCAACTTAAAGCAAGTAGCTAGCAAGTAACCACTTTGTGTTATTTATATGAGCGACTGGTGAAACGGTTTGATTTTATTTGTTCTTTGCTCTCGAATCGATGAGTTGATAGTTCAACTGAAATCTAAATTGAAGTACCCCGTTGTTCTGGTCTCTTGTCTTATATTTCGTTTCGTTTCGTTTCGTAATGGTCGTATTGGTCGTAATCGTAGTGTACTCCTGAGTTGATGATCCTTAAAAGAGAGTTGTGATAGTGACTTGACGATTGACCCCAGTGAAAATCGAACGGTCGAAGTACCGGGTTTGGATCGTCGGTACGTTTGTCAAGGGTTAATTCCAAAGATGTATCGTATTGTCGAAGGATGCTGAGAACCCTAAAAGAAGTCTATAAAAGGAAGAATGTCGAGGTTTTCGATGAGAAATGTGAATGATGTATGGAAGGGGGGAGAGTTGTAGACGATATATGTAAATATCTTCTATCGAGGCTGGAGGGAGGTATGTAAGTGTACTAGATTTCTTTTTTCCCTTTCTTAATCTTTACTCCAGAAGGTTTTGATTGTCTTTCGTATGCTCCAATGCTTTTCTCCCTACAGTATCCAGCTCTTCCTTGCCAGAAGTAAATGTATTTTCGGTCCAGTAAGGAAACGTCAACTTCGTCTGGGAATAATTGGACCAGATGGAAAGTGTATAGTATCTAAAATACCAAATGGAGTCCTAGGCGCTGGGAAAGGAATGCTTAGGATTGATTGATACCCCTCGTTTCTCAAAATGGAACCAAGGATGCAAGTGGCTCTAATGGTAGTTCCAAACTTTCGAAATGGCTAATCGTTCAGGATGACAAGGATTTCTTGAAGCTATTATAATAAACAGCAAGGTATAGATTGGATTAATTGGTAGGTGGGATTTCCGAATGGTATATCTATGCTTTGGTGTACTAGCTAGGCGATGATTGGAAAAAGGGTCAGGCTAGTGGCGTCGGTGCGTGGAAGCGTGGATGGACCAATGCATGCGAAATGCAGCGGGTTTCAGATGTACTGAGTAGCTCGATTGGTCAAAGTACCTTGCGCCCCGAGGATCAGATGGCAGGCGAGACAACCACACCTAGATGTTCAAAATGTACAAGGGCTCAGTTGAAACCAAGGGTTTGATCTTTCGAATTGATCGTCCAAGGTAACGGGTAACGAGATATGATTTGTTTGTAATGCCACAAAAGAGGATGTAGGACAAGTCTAAGTAAGGTAGAAGTTGTACAATTCTGCTGTAAAACAATGT